ATATATATACGTGTAGATTAGAAAAAAATATAGGATAAAATATATTAATACAATATTATATTAAATAGTATGTCCTTATATATTATAGAAATATTCCATTTTGTGTTTTTTTTTAACTTTAGATCAAAACTCAAACTAATTTTAAGGATATCCCCCTTTGCAGTCTGGGAAGCCCAGACAGACGTTACACTGGCAGCATCATAGTCACAGCAATGCCACTCTTTTCCATGCAGGTAATGGAGAGAGACACACATTTCTTTAATATACTGTACTGACACCCACTTTTAGAAAACAGATAGAAAACAGATGGCTTTCCCTGGGCTTTTCACAGTAGTAGGCAGTGCTGGGAAATCTTCCTGTGGTTGCAGATACCACAGCTAACACAAGGCGTTGATGAATTTTATCTGAAAAAGCCATTTTATCATGAGTTCTGCTTTACTGTATTGCTGGTTATATGCTTGTTAAAATATTGATAAATATTTTGTACCAGATTTTAAAGTACTGTGGAATGGGTCATAGCTGAATGATTATGAAAATGTACTGTATGAAGCTAAACAAGGGTTGCTGATTTTTTTTACTCTGGTTTTACATGTTTTAAAAGATTAAATATGGGCATTATGCTGGTAAAGCACACTGTTCGTCATGTTTTTTTGTTTGCAAAAATAGGATGGAGAATTTGATGCACATTTATTTACAAAACATTGGTTTGCAGCATTCCAACACAGCATAGACCTTCTTTGCGTGGGCTTCATCCACGTAATGGAACTGGTCAGCCTAGCATGGGAATGACTCTATGGGCCGAGTTGTGTGGAGGAGGAAGGCCAGAGAGGTGGTGACATAGCATCATGTGCTCAGCCAGAAGTTGGTTGGTTTAGAACATTTACTTTCAGTCCAGTTCATTTTTGTACTGACCCTCTAAAAACGAAGTTAGGCACTAATGGATTAGGTAGGTACTAATCAATCAAGTTAAAAGTTAAACTAGATCTTTATGAACAGAAAAGAGCTCCCTAATTCAATTTTTTATAACACAAGTACCTAACATAAAATTTTATTGTTGTGTTAATTAACATTTTTAATATTAGCAGGAAGGTGGTGCTCTTTCCTTAACCAGGGAAATTGCAGATTTTTTTCAGATATGTAAACAAGGTCTTCTGGATTTGTAAATTGTGATACAGTGGCACATAACGAGCGCACCGTATAACGATGAATTCGCATAGCGATCCCTTTTTTGGGATCACTAATGCGAAGGCATACCGATGGCTGCAATGGGCAAAACTTGCATTGCGACGATCAGTAAGCATTTCGCTTACCGATCTTCGCATTGCGGCGTCGGGCGATCAGCTGTTCGGCTGTTCCAAAATGGCCACGCGCAGTGTTTTTGTGCCCTGCCCTCACCGAGAGCGCGAAAATGGCTGCTGCTATGGAGGAACTTCGCTGAACGGTGAGTTTAGGGCCCATTTGGGTTTCCCCGTTCCGTTTAGCGATGTTTCCCCATAGCGAAGGTTAATCCGGAATGGATTAACCTCACTATGCGGGGCACCACTGTACTAGCTTTTCCCCTCCCACCCATTGGCTGCATTAGATATCACAAGTGATAGTTCCTTGTTTCTGACACCTCGTGTTATGCAGAAGGAAAGATTCTAGCTGATAAGCACAGTATATCACAGAAGCAAGTATACCCCCTCACATTTCATAAATATTTTAGTGTATTTTTTCATGTGACAACACTGAAGAAATGACGCTTGGCTACAATGTGGAACCTGTCCTGTTAAACAGGACAGTGAGTATACAGCTTGTATAACTGTAAATGTGCTATCCCCTCAAAATAACACAACACACAGCCATTAATGTCTAAACCACTGGCAACAAAAGTGAGTACACCCCTAAGTGACAATGTCCAAATTGGGCTCAAGCAGCCGTTTTCCCCCTGGTGTCATGAGACCCGTTGGTGTCACAAGTCTCAGGTGTGAAGGGGGAGCAGGTGTTATCACTCTCACAGACTGGTCACTGGAAGTTCCACATGGCACCTCATGGTAATTAACTGAGGATCTGTAAAAATGAATTGCTGCTCTACATAAAGGTGGTCTAGGCCAATGATGGTGAACCTTTTTGAGCTGAGTGCCCAAACTGCAATACAAAATCAACTTATTTATTTCAAAGCCAATACTGCAATTAAAACCCAAACACTGAGGTTTTAGTTTAGAAAAAACAACTGCTCCTGCACTGCAAGGGTTACATGCTTGTGTTTTTCCCTGTATGAGTGGTATTAATAAATACTTACTGGTCCTCCAATCCCCCATTGGGCTAGACCGGTAATGGTTGCCATTGCACCCCTCCGCTGGACCACTGCACCAGCAGAGGGGGTTGGTAAAATCCGGGATCGGAGGACGGGTAAGTATTTCTCTATGGCAACTTATGGCTCATTTGCCCACAGAGAGGGCTCTGTGTGCCAGCTCTGGCACACGTGCCATAGGTTCGCCATCACTGGAAGATTGCCAGAACCTTCCAACTGAGCTGCTGCATGGTGGCCAAGACAATACAGCTGTTAACAGGACAGGTTCCACTCAGAATGGGCCTCGCCATGGTTGACCAAAGTTGAGTGCCCGATATCAGTGTCATATCCAGAGGTTGGCTTTGGGAAATCGATGTATGAGTGCTGCCAGCATTACTGCAGAGGTTGAAGGGGTGAGGGGTCAACCTGTCAATGCTCAGACTATATGCCACATACTGCAACAAATTGGTCTCCAGAAGCCCCTAGTCTAGTGGTCAGGGAACAGGGATAAATTACCCCAAATGGGGTAAAAATGAAAATCCTGGGGGTAATGAGGACAGTCGCGGCAGGCATTTTACCCCCAGGCATTTTATTTCCGATGATGCTGTGTGTAGGTGGTTGTTCTGTCGCGGGGAGAGCGCGCCCTGCCGAGGAACTGCACAGGGCACCCACCTGCCATCCTCACTTCCTGTTTGATTTTTTAAAATAAAGGCATTGCCCGCTCTTGTATTTGTCTTATTTTGCCAATTCATGGATGGCATACAGTCAACAGCTCAAAGCTATGAACGATGTAGGGTTAGAAGCAGTTACTGTGCAACATCACAGCCAATGGCATAGAAGTTCAACATACAATTCTGTCTTTTTATTATATCACATTGTAAGTATGGATCTTCTCTCAAAATATTCGCTGGAGGATCAGATGTGAGAGCAGCCCAGATAGGCAAAGGGGCAACCATGATTCGTCCATGATGTGCTATAAACAGGTGAGGGTCCCAGAGTGTTTGTCTTAGAGCCTAATGTGTGTTGAGCTACAGTTAAAATAAACACAGAAGAAGCCCCTATGCCCATTTCCCCACATTTTTCCTTGTGAAACCACCTACAGGATTAAATGTGTACCACCAAACTTGTCCTACGTAAGGGAGGAAGTTAGAAAACCACAGTTCCATCCCAGATTTTCCACTGAGCATTCTCAATTCAGATAAAAGATGCAAGTAGAGACCATGTGCTTTTTAGAAGGTGACGGACAAAGAGACAGAGTTGTACCATCCACAAGTACTG